TACTTATATTATGGCTGGAGTGATGATAGCTGAAAAGAAGCATGTGAGAATGATGTTGGTGGCCGTTCCCTGCGCGCCCCCTTTGATGTCGAGAAAATGACACGCCTGGTGCGCCGTGCGAGCTTGCAACGGATAGAGACCGCACCCCACGCGCACCCCCCTCTGTTATCGAGACTTTGCCACGCCTGCCGCGCCCTGCACGCCTGCAACGCATAGAGACCGCACCCCCTGTTCACCCCCTTCTGGTGTCCAGAATTCCCACGCCTGCCATGCCTTGCGCACCTGCAACGCATAGAGACCGCACCCCCTGCGCACCCTCCTGGTGTCGAGAAAATGCAGCGCCTGCCGTGCCCTGCGCGCCTGCAACGCATAGAGACCGCACCCCCTGTTCACCCCTTCTGGTGTCCAGAATTCCCACGCCTGCCGCGCCCTGCGCGCCTGCAACGCATAGAGACCGCACCCCCTGCGCACCCTCCTGGTGTCGAGAAAATGCCGCGCCTGCCGTGCCCTGCGCGCCTGCAACGCATAGAGGCCGCACCCCCTGTGCACCCCCTCTGGTGTCGAGAAAGTGCCACGCCTGCCGCGCCCTGCGCGCCTGCAACGCATAGAGACCGCACCCCCTGCGCACCCTCCTGGTGTCGAGAAAGTGCCGCGCCTGCCGTGCCCTGCGCGCCTGCAACACATAGAGACCGCACCCGATGTGCACCCTCCCCCACGCCTGCCGTGCCTGCGCGCCTGCAACGCATAGAGACCGCACCCCCTGCGCACCCTCCTGGTGTCGAGAAAATGCCGCGCCTGCCGTGCCCGCGCCTGCAACGCATAGAGACCGCACCCCCTGTACACCCCCTCTGGTGTCGAGAAAGTGCCGCGCCCGCCGTGCCCTGCGCGCCTGCAACGCATAGAGACCGCACCCGATGTGCACCCCCTCTGGTGTCGAGAATTCCCACGCTTGCCGCGCCCTGCGCGCCTGCAACGCATAGAGACCGCACCCCCTGCGCACCCTCCTGGTGTCGAGAAAGTGCCACGCCTGCCGTACCCTGCGCGCATGCAACGCATAGAGACCGCACCCCCTGTTCACCCCCTCTGGTGTCGAGAATTCCCACGCCTGCCGCGCCCTGCGCGCCTGCAATGCATAGAGACCGCACCCCCTGCGCACCCTCCTGGTGTCGAGAAAATGCCGCGCCTGCCGTGCCCTGCGCGCCTGCAACGCATAGAGACCGCACCCCCTGTGCACCCCCCTGGTGTCGAGAATTCCCACGCCTGCCGCGCCCGTGCGCCTGCAACGCATAGAGACCGCACCCCCTTGCACCTTCCTGGTGTCGAGAAAACGCCTGCCGCGCCCTGCGCGCCTGCAACGCATAGAGACCGCACCCCCTGCGCACCGTCCTGGTGTCGAGAAAATGCCGCGCCTGCCGTGCCCGCGCCTGCAACGCATAGAGACTGCACCCCCTGTGCACCCCCTCTGGTGTCGAGAAAATGTTACGCCTGCCGTGCCCTGCGCGCCTGCAACTCATAGAGACCGCACCCGATGTGCACCCCCTCGGGTGTCGAGAATTCCCACGCTTGCCGTGCCCGGCGCAACTGCAACGCATAGAGACCGCACCCCCTGCGCACCCTCCTGGTGTCGAGAAAGTGCCGCGCCTGCCGTGCCCTGCGCGCCTGCAACGCATAAAGACCGCACCCCATGTGCACCCCCTCTGGTGTCGAGAATTCCCGCGCCTGCCGTGCCCTGCGCGCCTGCAGCGCATAGAGACCGCACCCCCTGCGCACCCTCCTGGTGCAGAGGAAAATGCCGCGCCTGCCGTGCCCTGCGCGTCTGCAAAGCATAGAGACCACACCCTCTGCGCACCCGCCTGGTGTCGAGAAAGTGCCACGCCTGCCGCGCCCTGCGCGCCTGCCGCGCATAGACCGCACCCCCTGCGCACCCTCCTGGTGTCGAGAAAGTGCCGCGGCTGCCGTGCCTTGCTCGCCTGCAACGCACAGAGACCGCACCCCCTGCGCACCCCCCCTGGCGTCGAGAATTCCCACGCCTGCCGCGCCCTGCGCGCCTGCAGCGCATAGAGACCGCACCCTCTGCGCACCATCCCGGTGTCGAGAAAGTGCTGCGCCTGCCGTGCCCTGCGCGCCTGCAACGCACAGAGACCGCACCCCATGTGCATCCCTCTGGTGTCGAGAATTCCCATGCCTGCCGTGCCCTGCGCGCCTGCAACGCATAGAGACCGCACCCTCTGCGCACCCTCCTGGTGTCGAGAGAGTGCCGCGCCTGCCGTGCCCTGCGCGCCTACAACGCATAGAGACCGCACCCCCCGCGCACCGCCTCTGTTATGGAGACATTGCCACGCCTGCCGCACCCCGCATTCCTGCGTGCGGCCGCGGTGAGGGACCACCCCCTGCGCACCCCCTAAGCTGAGCTGTGCTGTGTTGAGCTGGGCTGAGCTATGCTGTGCTGCGCTGTGCTGTGCTGAGATGAGCTGAGCTATGCTGTGCTGAGCTGTGCCGTGCTGAGCTGAGCTGAGCTGAGCTGGGCTGAGATGTGCTGAGCAGTGCTGTGAGGAGGAGAGGAAGAGTGAGGTGTGTGTGTGTGGGAGTGTCGCGGGTGCGGCGCGGCAAGGAAGAAAACCAGAACCCCACGAAGCATGTGGGGAACAATGGGGATGATGAAGACGACGACGATGATGTTGGTGATGATGTTGGCGATGTTGATGCTGGTGGTAATGCTGATGATGATGATGCTGATGATGATGCTGATGCTGATGCTGATGCTGATGCTGATACTGATGATGCTGATGCTGATGCTGATGCTGATGCTGATACTGATGATGATGAGCATGACGATCATGCTGATGACGATGCTGCTGCTGTTCATGATGATGACGATGATACTGTTGCAGCAGCTGCTGCTACTGCTGATGACGATGATGGTGATGCTGATGATGCTGATGATGCTGATGATGATGATGATGATGATACATGCGCTGATGCTGATGATATCGATACCGATGTCAATGACGGCAACGACGATGACGGCGACGGCGACGGCGATGATGATTGTGGTGATGGTGACGGTGTTGATGATGATGATGGTGGTGGTGGTGACGATGACGATGATGCTGACGTTGATGGTGATGATGATGGTGATCCTGATGATGATGCTGATGATGTTGTTGATGATGATGACGATGATGATGAGGATGCTTGATCGTGATAATGGCGATTGCTGATTGTGGTGATGGTGATGGGGATGATGATGACGATGACGACGACGACGTTGGTGAGGATGGCGTTGATGGTTATGTTGTTGATGGTGATGCTGTACGACTGATGTCGATTATCACGATGGTTGATTTGGTACCGTTGGGGGTGTGGATGGCGACGCTGATGTCGATGATGTCGATGATGACGATGATGATGATGATGATGATGATGCAACTGACGTTGGGTTTGATGCTGGTGGCGGTGATGTTGATGCTGATGGTGATGACGATGATGATGCTGATGATGATGATGATGATGATGATGATGATGATGATGATGATGATGATGATGATGGTGGTCGTGGTGGTGGTGATGATGTTGTTGATGATGTTGAGTATGATGGAGAGGATGGAGATGACGATGAAGAGGAATACCAGGGGGAGGAGAGGCATGCCATGTATGAAGCGAAAGGGGTGGAGGAAACGGAGGACGGGGATGAGTAACATGTGGAGAGGGAGGTCGAGGGCGAGGAGAAGGAGGAGGAATAGAAGCAGGAGGCGGCAGAGGCAGTGGAGCGCACTCCCTGAGAGGAGGGGGACGAAGAGGATTGTTGTGCGGGTGGGGGGGCGGGGAGGCATGGATGGATGTACACGCTGGTCGTTGAAAGTCGGTATTTGTGGATTCCCTGATCCCATTCTACTTCACGCGCCTTCCTACTTCAATAATCGGCACGCTGTTGCTGTGTTCTGTTACTCCCTGGGGGGCCTGGACCCAATCCACTAGATCCGCATTCCTGCTTCATGCGTCTACCTACTTCTTCCGACCGACGTGTGTGTGCACAGGGCGAGGGGGAGGAAGAAACGCAGGAAGACGATGACGATGAGACGGCGGAGGGAGAGGGAGCGGGGGCGCGGCGCGAGGACGAGGACGAGGCGCGGGGAGGACGAGGCGCGGGGAGCGGGGCGAGGAGGAGCGGGGCGAGGACGAGGCACGAGGAGACCAGAGGAGGAGCGGGGCGAGGACGAGGCGCGGGGAGGAGGTCGCGCGGGCAGCCGCGCGGCGCGCGGCCGTGCGGCGGCAGGCCAGCGAAGCGAAGGACGTCCGTCAGGAGGGGACAAAAACACACAGACACAACTAATCGTCGATTTCCCCGAAAATAGGGGAAACTATGGCAAGTGAGGGGGAAGACACAAACCCAGAACATATGGGAAAATATTAGGGATCCTGTTATTTGTGTTCATTTATGTGTGTGTCCCAGGGCCTCTTTAGTCCGTGGGGTCTGGAGTCCAGGGCGTCTGACCTGCAGCACGGGCTCGAGCGGTGGTTGTCACATTTCACTGCGGCGAGAGATCGTTCTCGGGGAGCTGGCGCCAGCAGCGGGGAAGGACAGCTGGAATATACTCACATGTGCGTGACTGTGGGTGGCCCTTTTCTGACAACCCGCGCCAGGGGAAACAAAACAAAAAGTGCCGTGTGCCCGATTGTGTGTGACCGTTTCAAGAAATCAGAAAAATCCGACGGAAAACATTTGATGCGATTTGAGAAGAGAGACTTGGCCATGTATTTCAATCCCTTCTCGATGGCTGTAATTCTTGTAATTCCTCTTCCCCCTCCTCCCCCTCCTCCCCGGGCTCGGCTCGGGTCCGACTGGCGAGTGCTCGGGCCGCGTCTCTTGACCATCCCTCGTCGTGGTCGTTGGTGTCACGTCTTGTTCGTTGCCAGGACATGCTCCCTTCTCCTCCGTACTCCTCCATCCTCCCTTTTCCTTCCTTCTCCTCCCTTCTCCTCCCTGCCGACTGCGAGAGCCGCCGCTCGCTCAGGACAGGCACGAGTGTGACGAGAAGTGTATCACGTCCTACGCCAACTTTGAGAGGCCCCGCCCAAACCCAGCTAGGATCAGAACGATGCAATCCCGCAGAGTGCAGAAGTTTGCCAGGCTCTTGTGGCGGTCGAACCGTTCCAGGCGGCTGTGGCTAAGGCACCGAACTTTCGCTCCGAGGTGCGAACGCAGGATGAGAGCGAAAGAACTACTGGTAGACCGAACACGCCTTGCCAGGGATCAAGGCGCCACTTACTTAGGCTGATGCTGCCCTCGTTCTGACATAGCGAGCCGCGACCGTTGATCAGCGCGGGGCCTAGGCTCACGCGAGGGGGGGGCATGGGAGGGAGGAGGGAGAGAGGAAGAAGCAGGAGACGGGCAGGGCGGAGGGCGGGGGGAGCAGGGAAGGGCAGAGGAGGTGGTGGGTCGGCGGAGGCGAAGTCCATACGGAGTATGTCCGTACGGAGTGCTTGGTCTCCGTATGGACTTTCTGCGTCTGGATTTTGCCCCTCCCGACAGGCGGCTGAGTCCGTACGGAGTGCTTGGTCTCCGTGTGGATTTACTTCGTCTGGACTTTGCCCCTTCTGACAGGAGGCTGAGCCCGTACGGAGTAGGTCCACACGGAGTGCTTGGTCTCCGTATGGACTCACTCCGTTTGGACTCGGCCTCGCCTGAGTTGCGGGGGGCGGAGCAGGAAGAAGGAGGGAGACCGGGGAGAAGGAGGAGGAGGAGGAGGAAGAAGAGGAGGAGGAGGAGGTGGAAGTGGAGGAGGAGGTGGAGGAGGAGGAGGTGGAAGATGGGAGAAGGAGGAGGGAGGATGTGGAGGAGGGGACGGGCAGTGAGGAGGAGGAGTAGGAGAGAGGCGGAGGAGGAGGGGGAGGCGGAGGAGGAAGAGGATGGAGGAGGCGGGAGGATGGAGGAGGAGGAGGATGGAGGAGGAGAAAGAGGGGGACAAGAGAGGAGGAGGAGGAGGAGAGACAAGGGAGGAAGGAGGAGGAGAGGTGGACGCAGGAGGGGAGGGTGGCTCGTAGGAAAATAGGAGGTAGGCGAAGGAGCCGGAGGAGGGACACGAGATGGAACGGCGGCGGCTCAAGAGGAGGAGGAGGAGGAGGAGGAGGAGGAGGAGTCGTTACTATACGTTCCCTGGCGCCGTCGTTGTACATGCAATCGCACATGCAGGCACCAAGTTGGCCGTCTGCAGCTATTGTGGTTCGGAGACAGAGAAAAAGGCCCGCGCGTGCCCCGCGCGCGCGTGCTCACATCATTATAGTTTCCTTACCCTACGCTTAACGGGATATCACATTCCTTTAACAGCCCGCGATGTCCATGGACCCGCTAGCATGGACCCCAACACTGAGGACTACGTTGCTTGACGATTTGGGCCCGGTTGGGCCTAAGTTGGGTAAAGATGGGCTATCAGCCGAAAGCTCTGGGTTATGGACGAACGGCTATGTCGATAAAGTTGGGGCGATTTCGAGCACCTCCGTTAATGAGGAAAATAACCAAGGGATGTGGAACCAACCCCAAAGAAGTGGGAATGTACAAGGAACGAGTCGACGGACCAACGCAGTCGACCTCACCACGCATCCGAGAAACAAAAGCGACAATGCTGCAGAATATCAACTCACCTGACAGATCATTGTCACCCGCAGAAGAGGACGACAAGGCAATCGCGAAGCCGATGATGAATGGCCCCTTCGCTACCATGCGGAATGCGTTCCCGGCGGGCGAGGCAATGGGAAACGACGGAGCCCGAGTAAACCGAGGGCGACAAGATACTCCTGTTCCAGAAGACGACCCAGATGAGGACGATGAACCGTACGGGGGCAAGCCCTGCCCGCACAACCCATTGTCCAGCGATGTCGAACAGGCCTACGTCGTGAACTCCAGCTCATCTGGCGAAGAAGACGAGACCGAGCCCTGCGCCAGACCGGAGAAGGCCATGTCCATATCGAGCTCGTCGGAGAGCAGTGACATGTCGACCCCTGACCGAACCCCGAAAAAGCGAGGCGCGGACTATGTCCGGAGAAAGGAGAAGAACCTAAGCCCCCGACGCAGTGTTGAACGCCAGAAGGACCTGGCGGCCTCGTCGGGGGGGTCTGGATCGAGACTCGACATGGGAAAACGCCAAGGGATGACCCAGTGGACATAAAACAATCCCCGTGTGAAACGCGCCCAATGACCGAGCCTGGGGGCCAGGGTGGTCAGGAAGACCCCGACCCAGTCCCAGATCTTAGACCCCGCGGAAGGCAACTATTCGAGTCACCGGGCTCAGTATCCCAGAGGTCAAGGTCGGGAAAGGGCGGTCGCAGTCGCAATTCACGGGGGTCCCATCGCGGATCCTCTCTATCCAGATCGTCAACGTCACAATGTACGATAAGGGAATCACGCGCGAACCGCGGGCCGACATGCGAGCCCGGCCCCCGAAGTCGGTGCCCGGGCAGAACGGCTGGTGATCGGCTATGCCAGAAGCTTGTATGTCGGGGATGTTCTGTCCAGTGCCCATTGTGTAACTTGGGATATCTTTGCCAGGAATGTCTACCACCAAAGCAACGCAGCTGATTTGCGTACGAGCACCGCCAGTGGGAGCTACAGCAGGAAATGAGGCAAAACCAGCTAGAGCAGGAGCGCATTTCCGAAATAACAGCCATGCGCACAATGATGGCAGACATGGAAGCTCGGCAGAGAATGCAGGATGAGCATATTGCGCAACAAGCCGAACAAAATCTCAATGCAATCCTTAGAAGGGAAAACGAATAGAAAGATGCCCTCCATGAGGCTGCGCTCAAGGCAGACAAAGAGGCCGCGGAGCAAAGTAAGGCAGAACAGGCTATCGCGAACAGGCCCGGCAAGCCCTCCGCGGGGCGCAGGGCCGGGGGACGAAACTTGAAACTTGAAGAGCAGGTTCGCGCGAAGCTCCGGGGAGCAACCCTGGCGCGGAAACGATCTGTCACCGAGGCGGACCGGATCGCAGCCATGTCCATCGCCGAGAGACGCCGCCTGGAACAGAACGCTGCAGAGGCAAAGAGAAAAGCCGATATGGCCCTTCATGAAGCCCAGGCCAAGCAGCAACTGCTTGAGAACGAGGCCAGGAATGCGCACATAGGAGCCGCCAACGTGCAAGCTGAACTCAGGCGGGCCCCCGACCCTGCCGCGGCTATTTTTTTTTTGGGGGGGGCGTGCGGAGAGGCCAATGCCTTGGTCCGAATCAGAACGGAAGCCCTCGAGGAGCACGAGGCGGCCGTGCGAGAGGCAACAGAGTTGAAATCATTGCAACACAACGCTCAAATCGCGGTGGCAACCTCCCAGGCTGGTCTTGCCAGCGCGAAGGCAGAGGCAGAAGAAGCGACGCAGGCCCTGCGGAGAGCCGAGATGCAAGCGCAAGCCGAGATTTGTGGCAGCAAAGCAGCGCCAAAGACTTCTTAGGGCGGACCAATCGGCCTGTATTTGACGTACACCTTTCAAACTTCAATGGCAAATATTTTGCACCATGAGTGCGCGACACTTGGTGGCGCGCCCACATTGGATCCTGCCAGCGGGCCAAATATTTGCGGACGTGTCCTGCAATGAGGTAATATCTCGCAGATCTTTGCATTTTTGAGTCACCGGGCAACAAGCTGTCGTGGCGCGTTACCTATGACAGACGCATGACCATGGTCCAAGTCATAACCCAGGCGAAGACCGGCTGAGTAGACGTTTTGGAGCCAAAACAGCAGATTGCGGCTGGACATCATGTCGAATCGATTGACGCCGAACTTTGTGCGGAAGTCCAGCAACCTCCAGGCCGGGGGGTTGACGTGTGTCTCGTGTGCCATATGGGTCACAAGTCAAGGTGCGGCATGATAGGATGTTCTGTATGCCAGGAAGGCATCATACATGAGGCATCAATGATCCAGTGTTCCAGAATGAAGCCAGCGGTGAACTGGAAGGCCGCGGGGTTCGTCAGAGATAGAGGGCGCCCACATACGCGCCATGCACGCAACGACGGCAGGCGCATGTCGAGGGCCGCAGTGGTCCAGAACTCTGATCGCACACAAGCAAAATACCGCGAAGGTTGGAGGAAGGATACCTCCGAAGGCGCACCTGCGCGCTACTATGCCGCTGTGGCGGGCAAAACAGCAGCTCTGTCCGCTGACACATCCGCATTCGCCTGGATCCCGGCATCGCCCATTAAGCGCCTTGCCCATGGCAACGTGGCGCGCGAGGTCAAGGCGCGCGCGCTGGCCCATCGGTGGATGTCGCGTCAGGTATACCACAACCGCCCGCCAGCAGGCAAACATGCCGTCTGCCCGACATGGAAGTGGTGGGCATATTTGTCTGGGCGAGTGGACAAAACGGACTATGGCTCGGATATGGGCATATTTAACATCTTCGACTGGGACACAACAGATCCTGATGCCATTGATCGCGTTGAAACCACCAGCGGGTGGCATCGATGGTGTCACCCTAATCGTGCTAACTTCCCAGAGGGTCTCAATAGGCTTAGGCAGTCGATACATTAAGAAATAGAGACCTACTGGAAGCCCAAAGAAGAATGGGCTGGCACCGAGGGAGATGAGGGCAGAGCAGAGTACGACCAAGAAGCGCGCATGCCCCGTGCCCCCATCCAACCGGCCGCCATCTCGCGCCCATGGCAGGCGTGCCTGCTCCAACAGTCGGCGGGGGATTCGATCCGCAGATGCGCCCATGGCGTTCGGAGGCCGCGCAATGCGCAGGCGAACGGGTTCTCGCGCCCCCAGCAGGGGCCAGGGCACACATCGGGATGACGTGACAAGTCCAATCAACCAGTACCGCGTCAAGCAGGCAGCCTACGAACTGGTTACGTTCTTCACTGCGGTTGACGTCTCCCCCACGCACCACAGAGCGGATACCTCCGCGTCGTGCGAGGAGCAGTTGCGCACAACGTGGAACGACCCGCCAGGGCTTTGCGCTTATGATCCAGGCCTACAAGACGATAGGGAAACATGGCTGGCGAAGCTTGCCTACAGGGCTACGATAGATGTGTCGAAGACTTTCAAGTGGGCACTGGTTGATATGAAATATGCGAACGAGAGCGCCAAGCGCATACATCTCGCTGAAGTGGACAAATTCCGCGAGACGTTGTGCCGGGAGCTCAACATCGCGAAGTCGCACCATGCGTTGGTTGAGTTAGCCCACCATGACATTTACAATAACAAGCAATACCTACCGCGCATCACTGAGGACGCGCCCCACATCGAGGCGTGCATGGAGTACGTGTTACAATCTCAATCGGCCGCTCAACTCCGAGGTCAGCAGGGTACGATCGATGCTTCCTGGCATTCGGCAGCCGAAAAGTGGGCGCTGCACGTGTGCGAAGCTGCTGTGTACGCGTTGCAGGCGTGGACGCAGCACGGAGCGCCGCCGCCCCCTGACTCGGATGAAGAGCGCCGCCCCTCGCGCGCGCCAATGGCACGAGGGGCGCGGGCTCGTCAGCCCGCTGCGACTACCGCGCGGGCTGCGCGATCCATCGGCCGAAAGCGCCCGCATAGCCCCTCGCTTACACCAGCGGCTAGGGTGGCGGCGCATGAAGCGGCTGCATATCCGCATGACAAGGGTGGAACGGGCAGCGCGTCGAGCGGCGCTGCCCCGCCGCACCCAGAGGCTGCGGGAACAGGCAAAGGCGGCAAGCGACCTAGAGACAAGGGGAGCAGCCGCACTGCCTCCCCGCCCGCGGTCCGCCAATGCCGATGCGCAGACATCCGCCAGACTGAATGCAGCGGCGCTGCGTCGTCGTCCTCCCAGCGAATTCCCGAGGCTGCTCGTCGCCCATGGACTCGGAGGCAAAGCCGACCCCCTATTGACCGCGCCTGGAGTGCGTGGAGGGGCACCCCCAGCCGTAACAGGAGCAAAGGACCGGGAAAAGGCTCGCGGGAAGGGCGGCTACGGCATTTGGTCCGACCGGCGCTATGACGACCGTCACCAGTGGCGCCGTGACGGCGGATGGCACTGGTGAGCAACAGACGCCTAACGCCAATGGCGTTCTGGACGCTGTGCCAGTGCACACGCGCGCTTTCGACCAATGGCTATATAGTGCGCTGCAAATCGCATATGGGGTGGCTTGAGGCTGTGGGAGCTTCGCCCCTCATCAATACATGGCATCGTCGGCCAATGGCCGGATGATTAACGCCACTTGACCGGCGGGCCGCTGGCGGCTGTGAGAGCCTCGCGCCCGCAGTCGCTGTAATCCGACGCCGTCGGGGACGAAGAGCCCCGATGGTAAGACGTCGGTCTTGGCCGGCGCTGCGGCCAGGCCGCCGCGGGGGGAGTCGTTACTATGCGCTCCCTGCCGCCGTCGTTGCACATGCAATCGCACATGCAGACGCAGAGTTGGCCGTCTGCAGCTATTGTGGTTCGGAGAGAGAGAGAGAGAGAGAGAGAGAGAGAAAACAAAAAAAAAACAAAAAAAAAAAAGAAAAGGCCCGCGTGTGCCCCGCGCGCGCGTGCTCACGGCCGGTGCCGCCGACCCTGTTCGCAATGCGCAGCAAGAGGCACGGGCTGTGGGATGGTAGAGGGGGGAAAGGCGCGGGGCGCGGGGCGCTCTCTTCCTGTGGAAAGGAAGGACAGGGGGAGGAAAGGGTGTGGACAGGGGGAACAGAGGGGGCTGTGGACAGGGGGAACAGAGGGGGGACGGGGGAGAGGGGGGAAAGGCGCGGGGCGCGGGGCGCTCTCTTCCTGTGGACAGAAAGGACAGGGGGAGTAAAGGGGGGGCTCCCCTCCGTGTGGACAGGGGGAACAGAGGGGGGCTCTCTGAGGCGCTCTCCTCCTCGGGCGCGGCTCGGGGGCGGCTCGGGCGGCTCGGGCGCGGCCTGAAACAAGAAAGAATCCTTACGTGGAGTACTTTCGGGGGGGGCGTCGTATCTGACCCGGGACTTCCCCGGGACTCCCCCGGGACCCCCCCCGGGACCCCCCCTCCCCCCCCCGTCGGGGAAGGGAAAGGGAAGGGGCTTCCCTTCGACTCAATTGCGACGTTGCTCAAGGTCGGTTTGGCTGGCGCGCTTGAGGAGGAGGCCCTGGGAAAGACCCTCCCTCCCCCTCCCGGCGGGGGAGAGATTAAAGGGAAGGGGCTTCCCTTCGAATCAATTACGACGTTGCTGAAGGTCGGTTTGGCTAGCGCGCTTGAGGAGGAGGCCCTGGGAAAGGGCGAGGGGAGCGGGGAGGAGCCCAGGGGAAGAGGGGTACCAGGGAAAGGGAACGACAGAGACGACGATTACAAAGAATGACGGAGATGACGGCTCGAACGGAAAAGCCCCTCACACACGCCGACAGGGTCGGCGGATTACCCGTAAGGGCTTCGCCCCCTGCCGCCGGCCCCATCTCTCGGAGAATGGGCCATGGAAGAGCAGGTTTTGGACCCTGACCCCGCGGATCTGCGTGAGGGGTGGCACCGAATTTCAGAAATGTGGCAAATCCCCTTTGTCTTTGGACCCTTACCCTGCGGATCTGCGTGAGGGGTGGCACCGAATTTCAGATATGTGGCAAATCCCATGTGTTTTTGGACCCTAACCCCGCGGATCTGCGTGAGGGGTGGCACCGAATTTCAGATATGTGGCAAATCCCATGTGTTTTTGGACCCTGACCCGCGGATCTGCGTGAGGGGTGGTACCGAATTTCAGAAATGTGGCAAATCCCATGTGCTTTTGGACCCTGACCCCGCGGATCTGTTTGAGGGGTGGCACCGAATTTCAGAAATGTGGCAAATCCCGTGTGTTTTTGGACCCTGACCCCGCGGATCTGCGTGAGGGGTGTCGATTTTGACCCCCCCCAGCAATTCAGACAACGCGCCCAGGTGGTGCTAAAAATCTCGTTTGGGCCTCCCTCCCCTCGCGCGGTCAATCAACTAGTTACAGTAACCAGCAAGAAGCAGAACTGTAACACTGGAAACTACAAACTACAACTGGTACAGGAAACTGCGAACCACGGGCCTACAGCCTGGTGGCCCTGCAAGGGGGCCGGCGGATACTTTCCTTACCCTACGCTTAACGCGATATCACATTCCTTTTGCAGCCCGCGATGTCCATTGACCCGCTAGCATGGACCCCAACATTGAGGACTACGTTACTTGACGATTTGGGCCCGTTTGGGCCTAAATTGAGTAAAGATGGGAGGAGGAGGAGGAGGAGGGAGGGAGGAGGAGGAGGAGGAGGAGGAGAGGAGGAGAGGGGGAGGGAGGAGGAGGAGGAGGAGGAGGAGGAGGAGGAGGGGGAGGAGGAGGAGGAGTGGGAGGAGGAAGGATGCAGCTCCTGCGCTCGCCCATGCCCCGTTGTCGTCGTCGTCGTCGTCGTGTTCCTCGTCCCCGCTGACCTGGCCTCTCGTGATCTCTTCGTCGGCGCCCTCTGCCCTCGTTCTTCGCGCTCGTCATCGAGCGAAGCCCGCCCTTCGTTCCTATGGTCTCTTCGGCGCCCATCTGTATGACTTGAAGGATTCGCAGGCATGGCGAAGCAACCATAGAGTCCTCCGCTGCTACCCCGCATTGCTTGAAATGGTCGCACTCCCCGCCGTAGTCCACCGAAGGACCATACATATTTTCCCGAGTTCGTGCGGTGACCAGAACTCCCGGACCTTTTGCACACAACTGAATGGATTATGTATTGGTGTCCCAGGCGCCAATTGTGAAGTCAGTTCTCCGCGAGAAGCCGCACCGACGTGCTATGATCGCACGGTCTGGAGCTGATTTATTTCGCCGCCGCACACGTCATCGGAGGACGAGGCGGTCGGGCGGGCCAGCGGCCGTTTGCGGGCGCGGGCGTGGGCCCCTGGGCACAGGGACTGCACGGGCAAGGCCGACAGCCTCGAGCTGGTTTACGAGATGCGGCTGAAGGCCGCGGCAGCCAGGACGCCACCCCGCCGGCCGGCCGCTCCTCCCCCACCGACCCCCTCCTCCTCCTCGTCCTCCTCCTCCTCCTCGTCCTCGTCCTCGTCGTCGTCCTCCCCCTTTTCCACCTCCTCCTCCTCTTTTTCCTCCTCCTCCTCCTCCTCCTCCTCCTCCTCCTCCGCCTCCCTCCTCCTCCTATTCCTCCTCCTCCTCCTCCTCCTCCTCCTCCTCCTCCTCCTCCTCGCGCTGCCGCGCTCGCGCTCGCCCGCGTGGCATAGGCGTGCCAGGCGACTGCGAGCCACTGCCTGTGACGCGCTGCGCCGAGAAGCGCACGTCCTGCGGTTGCTGCGACATCACGGCAGCCAGCCACCCAGCATGGGCAAGGGCGGTCCGCAAGGCGCGCGAGCAGCTCAGCAGGGCGCTCGAGCGCGAAGAGGAGGCAGTTTGTGAGCTGGCCCAGACGGAGATCGCCAAACGCATCGCGGTCAGGGCTCTGGCGGTCGAGGCAGGGCTCACGGCGGAGAGTGTTGCAGAGCCTGCGCAGCCAGGCACCAGCGTCAAGGCGAGTTGCGGCAAGGCCTTCGACGTTGCCTGGGACGAGAGCTTCTTCGAGGACTTGCGCAGCGGAAAGTACGAGTGCGAGGAGGCCGAGAAGGCCGAACTGTTGCGCCTGGAGCAGGAGCCCATCCAGGCCAAGTCCGCGATTGGAGAACGTGGAGACCAGGTCCAGGCGTGGAAGACCAAGATGGACGAGATGCAGGAGTCAGTTTGACAGCGCATGGCCAAGAAGCGCAGGGGGTCGACGGCGATGCGCGCGAGGGCGGCGGCGTGCAGGCGGAGGCGCCAGCAGCCAAACCCGAGGGAGTCGCCGCGGAGACGACGCCCCCCGTCGCTGGTGCCAGTGGCGCCGACGGCAACGCGGAGGCGGGCGCGAGGATCGAGCAGGAAATGCAGACGACTCGCGAGGCGAAGGAGGCAGTGGCCAAGGCAACGGCAGCTTCCGCGACCCAGGCGGCCAAGGCGGCTGGGCGCGGCGCGGGGGCTGGCGCGGCTGGGGCGGCCTCGCCCACCAAGGACGGCTCGAAGTGAACACAGGCGGCCTCGGCGGGCTCATCGAGCGCCGAGCTCGTGGGCGGCGCCCGCCAGGCCGCCATCGCTCCTTCGCCGTCCGAGGGTGGGCCCGCGCCCCCGTGCGTAGCGGTGGCTGATGCCGCCGCTGAGGCGTCGGCGTGTGGCTCGAGTTGTCCCGTCTCCTTTCTTCGTCTTCGGCATTGTCGCCGGCTACAACGGCGACGCCGAAGTCAGACGATCAGGCCACCTCCATCGGTTCGCTGAATGGCATAGATGCATACATTATTTAGCCATATCACGACGATGGGCAACAAGTCTTGGAGCTACCTCGCGGAGTTGGTCAAGTCGATGTCCATCCAGTTTTTCGCGTCGTGTGAGGCCCATGTTACATATTCGCAGGTGGTTAAGTGGACCAAGAAGGCGAGAGCGTCCACCCTGAGGTGCTATGCCAACGGCGCCCGGCCGATTGGTAGACAGTGTTTGACGGATTCGGGGCAGGCTGAAGCGAACGAGGGCGGCGAATTGTTTCTCGCCGAAGGCCGCAGACAGGCGCCCCCATCAGCGCGCGGCAAGCTAGGGGCACTTAGTGATGTAGGCCAGCCAGCGAGTGATGGATTCCGGCCTATGGTTGTCCATCCCCAGGGGCTTAGCATTGTCATAGTCACGTTTTACAGTAGATGTGGTTTAAAGTTTTCTGGCCCGAATCTGGGGCGATTCGCTAGGCTAGGGGCTTTGCTACAGGCGATCCGGCTACCTTGGGTCATTCTGGGGGTTTAAACCTGACTCCGACCGAGCTCGAAAGGTCGGGGCGCGTGTCTCGGCGGGGAGTTTCAGCGTTGCAGGCCCCCATTCAATACGCATGTGTTAGTTCGAACGGGTCCACGCACATCGATGTTGCGGTGGCCTCGGCCGCGGCGATTCCATGCATTGCGGGCATGAGTGCGATCTCAGACGTGCCGCGGAGCCCGCGCTGTGCTTTGTTGCTTCAGTTGAGAGGACCAGGTGGGCAGCTCATCACCAGGTCCCTGGTTTTGCCCGAGCGTTTTGCACAAGTCACACGGCCTCAGACGCAGGCCACGGAAGGGGTCGAAGTCCTCTCGCGCTCGGAAAGATCGGGCTGTCCAGCAAGCTCTCTATAAAGAAAAGCAGATTGGGCGTACCAGCCCCCGTTTCGGTGATTTGCTAACCCAGCCTGACAGCGCCAGTGCCGAGGGCGAGGGCTCTCAGGGTTTCTCGGGCGTTTCGCTTCCAGAGGCTGGAGACCCCGAGGGTCCGGAGAGTTGAGCTGGGTTCTAATTCGGCGGTCTAGATGAGGACGAGGTTGGTCCGTGGGCCGAAGAGCCAGACTTCGGCGAGCACCTCCGTCCGCCCCCGCTCCCATCCCCGCCGTCGGTTGGGTCGCCCCCCCCCCCCCCCCCCCCCCTGTTCTGGCGTCTCGCGCCTTGGTGGTTCTCCGACCGTTTCGAAGGGGGTACCTCCCACAGCGAGGGCCTCTACGAATGGCAATGTTGAGTCCCCTCTCAACGAGTGCCGACCTATTTCGAGCGAGGCGTTCCCATATCCCCCTTCGCACGGTGGAACTCCCCCCACCGTGTCGCCCTCTGTGCCCGATGCTGGTGCGTTTGCCTTTCCTCGTGTCCGTTGGGTGTTGGCTCGGGCTACTTCTGGCTTCCATATGCACTCCCTTGACGACGTGTGGAAACCCGTCCAGCAGTCGTTGGCATGTTGGCGGTCAATGCGAACCCCCAGTCAGCGGAGCCTTCGCGGCTAGGATCACAGCTGCGGAGGCGACGCACGGGGCAGGAGATTCGCACCGCGGCCTTTCTCGCGCGAGGGGTCCGACGATGACGGTCCACCAGGTCAGGCAGTCCACCCGCTTCCGCGACATGCCCCAACTGGTGGGAGAGGGTTGCCGTCTTCGTCAGCAAGACATTCAAGCGCAGGCAGAGGAACAACGGCCAGGCACAGATCGACGCGCTGGGCGAGGCCGCGGTCAAGCTATCAGGCCATTTCCCAGACGGAGTGCAGAAGATGATCAATTTACACAGGGACGCAACGTCCTGGGACCTATGGGTCGATGTGCTCTGACACCTGAGAGCCATTCCCACTGCCCAGCTCGAGCTGTTCCCCAAGGAGGCGGCGCGTGTAGAGAGCAGGGCTAGGTCACGGGCGTTGTCAGCATCGTTGGCAGGTTTCAAACAATGGGCCACAGCGAATGAGTTTACTGGTGGCTTGTTCAAGGCATCTAAGGAGCAGCCGGTCAGCTCGGCCTCAGTCACGGTGGGGGGCGGCACCATCCAGCATCCTCGCGACGTCGTGGGGTATCGGGCTGGCAAGTGTCATAAGTTTTGGACATCTTCACACGTGGATTGCGAGAAGGTCGAGGATGTATTCACCATCGCCCGAGGTCGTGCACGTGAGGAGCCGCTGGGGCCCTTCACTCTAGACGGTGTGCGTCGCCCCGTCAGATCGATGGAAGCTGCGGCTGGCATGGGCATGGCACGCCTCTCGCTAGTGGATCTGGATGGGGCTGCCGGACGAAGCTTTGACGGGGTTAGCGGGGCTCTTCAATTGGTTTGAAGAATGTCAGACATGGCCCTGGCAGCTCACGGGGGTGGTCGGGGGACTGCTGCCTGAGAAGGCTGAGGGTCAGTTCCGTGTTATAGGATTGATTTGTATGATGTGTCGCATATGGAGTGGCTTGTGAACCAATGGTTCAGCAGTGGGCGTTGGGGACCCAACCCGACTGGGACGCCTCGGTGAAGAGCAACAGTGTTTTGCGAGGGGCGTACATGAAGGCACTGAACGAGGAGCTCTACACCCGCGTGAAGATGGCGAGCGGACAAGCGCTCATGGACATTCAGAGCTTCTGCGATATGGTGGGATGGGACACCCTAGTCAAGGGTGCTGTCAGGTACGGATTCCCAGCAGTCGTGCTGGGGTTAGAGTTGCAGATATGCGCCAGCCCCAGGATGCTGTATCAGGGAGATGCGGTCTCGTCGCCCTTCCAACCCGCCAGGGGCATCAACCAGGGGCCGCGCAGCGGGACTCGGTTCGCGAGATGCGTCACGGGCCTGGTCATGGAGCGGCTCACGGTGATGCACCCCAGGTTAGCCGAACGTTTGTGGGTTGACGATATATCGCGGTCGGCGGTGGGATCGTCCTTCAGTGTTCGGCACGACTTGATCGAACGGGCGACTTCGACATTCGGCTTCCTAGCCGACGAGAAGCTGGAGCTGGCTAGCGAGAGTTCGATCTCATGTTCGTCGATGACCGACGCCCGTGTTATTGTCAAGGCCTTGAAGAAGATGGCACCACGATGCAGTGTGCCAGGCAGATGGTGCACCCTGGCGTCGACTTGTCCTGTGGCAGGCGCCACGGGCGAGCCGCGAGGCAGAAGCGCATGGGGACCACCAAGCGCCAGCACCTCACGCTCAGGCGTTTCGCGTCATCGTCACGGGGGTTTAGGATATTCAAGAAGGTGGGGTTGGCAGGCCCGCGGGCTGGTGCTCGGCACGGCCACCAGGTGTTAGGCCTGCCCCAGTTGTCGCTGCAGCCGCTCAGGCGCAGGCTGGGCGGTGTCTCAGGTCACCGACGGGGGCGATGTCTCACGACGCTGCTGGGCCTGAGGGCGCCTGGGGCAGACCCAGGGCACGTGCTCCCACGCCAATGGGTCGAGCAATGGTTCAAGTGCTGGCTGGACGCGCCGCCGATGCGACACGCGGCGGGTGAAGTTTGGCCAAGCTTGGTCCAGCAGTTCCCCGACTTGGAGGCGCAGCATCGAGCTCGGCGCGCCAGGGGGCCTATATCCGCCCTCGTCCACTACCTGGCGGGGTGCAAGTGGGACATCTGATCGGTCACGGAATGGCGCCCCCCCCCCCCCCCCCCCCCATCGGCGCCGACGGCATGCAGCATGAATGGAGCTTCGGATCAGAGTCGTTCGATGCTT